TACGTGCAAAACAGGGGCGTGGCGTGCTTTTCGATTTGTCGATATTTCCCCATTTGAAGCTGTCGCAAATAATCGATTATTAAGGTGTTGGCTGCGAAAACCCTGTTCATCGATACTTTTCCATAGGTTTAAATGGCGGATCAATCGATAAATCGCAAAGCACGCCGCGCTACTAGTGCAAAAAGGTCATTTCTTGGTTGCGGTGTCTTAGAATCTTTTCTAAAGTTTCACTTATTATGATTAAAGTACATGTATGGAATTCGCTGAGACTTTTACTGAATTTTCTCTACGATTTTACGTTGAAAACGAAAAATTTCAGAAAATTACCCAATAGCTTCTTTTCTAAAATATAAATTAGCGGTAAAGATTCTGAAACACAGCAACCAATAAATGCCCTTTCTGAATCTTACGCCACAATTTTTAGGTGAAACGTTTTAAAATATACATTACTTTAGACCAACTATTTTTTAGTTTCAAATTAATTTGCGTGAAATTGTCATTTTTAAAAATACATTTATTAAACCCGTTTAATTGAAATGCATGTTTTATATTATTTCATTCAATATTCAATTCGGTTTTACAGTTTTCTTGCATTGGTTATAGCATCATCAAACGCGGTCTGATCAATCGTAGCAGCATGTCTTAGGCCGGTTTTCTGTAGTTACTGCGAATACCAAGAACTATATTAGTAGACTGCGATTGATGATACATTTCCAATAATAAACCACCAGCAATTGAAAAATGATTTGAATTTGATCACTCAGTTCAATGAATTATATTGGAGTGGTCATGCAATCAACGAGGTATCCATTCAAAACCGTGGAGTTTTCTCTGTATGCGATTTTGTATCTTTCGTAGTTGAAGGCAAATCTGACACGGACTGACTACTGAGTACAATGCAGCTTCAGGAATAAAAATGAAATGAAAGTTAGGATCTTATTCACAGTCGTTCCTTTATTGTAAAGCATGTTTAACCAGTGTATTGGCTTAAGAAGACCTAAAAATTTAAGGAATGACCATGAATAGGACGCCTCACCAGCACACGAATTTATCCCATTGATGTAAATGAAATATCTACATCTACACATGCTTCCCTTTTTAGAGAGACCTATTGCGTATGAAAAAGCCCAATTATATTTATTTTTTGAATATAACATTATTATTAAGGTAATGTAATATATGTGTTGAATAAAACGCTTTTCAAAGAATCTTATTTTAAAGCGCTAAGTTGAGACATCTGAATCGGAGGAAGAGTAATTTTACTTACCAATAAGTAGTAATTTGTTTGGTGACTTCAGAAGTATCTGGAGCTCTTCAACACGACACTTTGCTCGAATATGCTCTATGATACGGGTAGATTTTTATTTTTAATGTATATTTGTTTGCTTAGCTCAAAAAATGTGAGTCTGTAAATGTTTGTGCTAGTTAGTCTTTATCTTAAAGGGTAAAATTAAAATGTTTAAGCCTGTTTTCGTCCATTTTTGTATCGACTCGAGAGAGAATAGTGCAAATATGGAAAAAGGTAAAACAAATATAAATACGAATCTTTTAAAATATTTTAAATGATACACCCATCGGAATAGCTCAAGGCCGTGGAGCTCAAAATAATTAATAGAAGTACGAACTTCATGGATTTTTCAACCGTCTGGGGCATTAAAAGCGATTAACAGTTCAATTTACGAGAGCTACATAATTTATTTACCGATTGTAGTTAATAATGATCCCAAATAATTGCGAGCATGTAGAGCGTTAATCTGGAAGCCATTTTTATTCTACTGTGACTTACAACATAAACCATTAGCTCCCCAGTAATTTACGGGAACTGATATTGCAGCACGCAACTGCGTTTTCCTGGCTGGACGTGAATTAATACGTTTCAATAACATTTGATTTACTGTTTTTATACCACTGCCCCTGCTCCTGAGACTTACAAACTGCATTTACGGCTATTTGTCATATTGTGCATTTTCTCCGAGTGGAAATAATTTAAAGGCACGGCAACTTGCAAGAGGGCATGGATTGGATTGATATGAATCGATCGAAAAATAAAAACGTGGGTCGATCGACACGATTTGATCAACATCGAATCCATCCGCATTGCATCGACCGAAAATTAATTAAAAAAACTTTATGTCGATCGAATAACATGAATCGATCGACAGCGACTCGATCGATACCAATTTGATGAACGATATTCGATTCATTCACGGGTCTGTCGATTGAGTCACGCAGGGCCGGATTTACCTATTTGCCGCCCGTGGGCCGCCTGTATTTTGCCGCCCCCTTCTCATTCGTCTTGAAACATCGATAAAAACCATCAAATGAACGTGCCCGCGGGGGAGGGGTGCATAAGACGCGTTTACCTTTGTTGAGCACATTTTTTGGGAAAGCCCTGTCAACACTACTAGCAAAAGTTCACGGAACTTTGCACGAAAGTTAAGTCTCGTAAATTAACCTACCTCTGTGTGGACAAGGCTTTCATTCATGAGATTTGAACGAAAAAAATTATGAAAGAACAAACATAAAGGTTGATTAATGATTTTAACTTCCACCGCCGCTCCGCGCAGACCATATTGTGTTTGGCGCAATGCGTGAAGTATTCCGACAGTCTTGTAGGCGCTATGAGTTTCACGCCGACCGCTGCTGAACGCACTGTGTTTGACGCAATGCGTGAAGCATTCACGCAGTCTTGTAGGCGCTATGCGTTTCACGCTGATCGCACTATGTTTGCCGCAATGCGTGAAGTATTTGTGCAGTCATGTAGGGGCTAATATGTGTTACATGCCGATCGCCGCGCCGGGGGCTTCTCCTTTTCATCTCAAGTCCTCGTCATCGTTTCTCTATAAGTCGCGCCGTTCCAGGCCAAACTGCGTGTTGGGTTTCTCTCTTACCTCGACTAATTAAAGGTGCTGTCTCTTGTACCACTGAAAGACGACAAAAGTAGAAATTACTATACTCTAAGAAAATTGGAGATTTTGTCGCCACTTCTCGTTTGTAATTTTTTTTTTCTAAAATCGAATTTTCTATACCTACATTTAAAAAAAAATCAAAATTTGCCGCCCCCTATAGATTTGCCGCCATGGGCCGCGGCCCATGTGACCACTCCATTAATCCGGCCCTGGACTTTAGGTTGTCAATTGTTTATCGGTTCATGTTTATGTTTTTCGATCGATTCATGTCAATTGAATATATATGATCCACTCAATTTTTTTGCTAACCCGCGGAGCTGATTCCTTGACAGGATTTTCATTCAATTTTTACTGTAACATCAAACGTAGAGCAACCAGAGTATCAGGACGATAGTTTCATACAAGAAATTGAAAATAACGGATATTTTTCTCGGCGATATTTTTTCAGCGAGCAGCATACCGCACATCTCGGTGAATACCCGTGGCGAGGGGTGAATGATCGATTATCGATTTTACCCCATTTGAAGCTATGACGAAGACTCGGCTTTTGAGGGGTTCGCCGCGAATACCGTCCTGTTTATCGATCCTTTTCCACAGGTTTAAATGACAGAGCAATCGATACATCGCAAAGCACGCCACGCCACTGGCGAACACTTTTCTGGCATGCTGGCCGCGAACTGAATTTAATTAACCGACTGCACACATACCTTTAACGGCACTGCACCAAACCCTGTCCGGTTGATACTATTAATCCAATAATCTTATATATTTATCAGGGAAGAGAGGCCAAATACAGGAGGCGCATCGAAAAAAGCAACTATGCATTTTACTCATAACTGAATATACAACATAAAAAAGAACAAGTTTCGGTCAAACAGTTTAACAGAGGAAAACAAATAAATCTTTAACGTCAGGCTGTCGAGCAGCCGAAAAACTCCGTGCAAGCACGAAGAGGGGAAAAATTACATTCGCATGCATAAAGCGCAGTATTACAATCAAAATACATGCGTTCGGCGTGGTTTGTCATGGACACAGCCGAGTTTTAAACGAAAGATCTGTAAAAATGATAGAATATTGTGACACGATGTCACGTTTCCATTTAAAATGTAAACTTCTCGTGTCAGAAGAAGTAGTCTTCTGAATCTAAACATAGTGTATGTCTGAAAAAGTGAAAATAGTATAAAGTCAAGAATACTTGCGTCACACTGATTGCCACGCTTTTTGGACTTAGATCTTCTACTGCAGTTCTAAAAAAAAGGTGTCATAAGGGTTTTTGCCGTGATTTGAATTTACTATGGACACGCTTCACCCGTTAAAACACTGTGTTTATAGTCGTTTTTGAGTCAGCTATTTTCTCCAAGATGTTAAACGAGGCCTAGGTTAAATACAGCGTCTAGTACAAAGGACAATTTTTACATAATTTTGTAAAATTCGACGGTATAGCTCTAAAAATAGACTTTTGTTAGGATTTTCGATAATTTGTTCCTTCAGCAAAGGGAGAGTGTTGGAGGAAAAATTCGGCAGATTTCTAAATTTTAAGATAGGTCCGTGCCAACCTTGAATTTCGTAAAAATCATAGAATTTTTTACAATATTTGCATACTTTTTGTAGCGGTTGCTTATGTTATTTTATCTCAAGGATATATTTCTACAGCAGTACCATTGAATATTACCAGAATGTTGTAATAAGTGTCCCTTCTATGAAACAGGATGTTTGAGGCCGCACTATTAACCTTGCTTACTCACGATGTAAATCATTTAGGATTACCTAAAACAGGCGCAAAACGACATTGAATATGGTTTTAAGTCAATCTAACTTTGGTTGAATGCATTTAAGCAAAAGAAGTCTGTCTTTTTTCGAAACAAATTTAGAAAGAATCTGTATTGGATTTTATGATTGGAATTGGAAGTTGGGTCAGGCCAAATTTTCCCTCTAAGAGCTAACCGAGGAAGTAGCTGTAAAATAATCTGACTCAGCCCGAAGCAGATAGAGTGTTTCCTCCATGTAGATAGACTTGAATTGGAAGTATTTCTGTCAAACGGAACTATGTGCATTATGACGTGAGCCCTGTAATGCATATATTCTTATGGGTCTCAGGGTTCATGTCTTAATGCACATAGTTCCGTTTGACAGAAATACGTTCAATTGTACTGCTTCTTTTGAGGATTGCTATACGCAAAAGAAGTTTAAGTGGAGTAAAGTTTAAAACCCATAACTATGTCGCCTTGAGTGTTTTCGTGAGGATTACTTTCTGCGACTGCCACAAATTATTTTGTGCTGCAGGCAAGCATAAACATATAGGTAGACCTATAAAATTCCACATAAACTATGATTTCCTCAAAACTCCCGATGCAGACAGACTTCTTTTGCTTTAATTGTCTCCAAACATAGATATCTTGACGGCATAGTCGCAGATAATGCGGAATAGAGTATTATCGAAATAGAGAGAGTATTGACCGAACTATTCATGGAGGTCTTAAGAATCAAGAGGGCAGCGAACTTTCCTCACACAAAATATCTTAAACAGACGTTGCAAGCTTTCACACTCAGGTCAGAGACTTAGAAAGTGGTTGCTGTTCGTAACGTTTGAATTTTCTAGACACCATATGACAATATTTATCTCTTGATATCCTTAAAACATGCAAAAATACTGTAGAAAATGAGTTTTAAAACTTGCATTAACTTAATTTTGAATTTACATATAAAGAGCAACCGGTAATTTAAAACCATACGTTGGCTGCCTATTTAGGTTTTGATGCCTACTTTGATCGGAATTGGCTCGGAATTTGATCATCTTTTGAGGCCTTTCTGACCATACCTTCACTCGCAGAGACATCGGTGAAGGCCTGATGGGTTTTTGGAGTTCCGCATCTGTCCAGACTCTCTCCATAAAGTTACTCTAATCTGAGTTACCATCCCTCTTAAATGCCAGACCCACCTGCTTGCTAGACGCGAAAAGTAGGTTCCGATCCTACTTTGAGCGAGATACGATAGGATACGATAACGAGATACGGGTAGAGTACCTTTATAGGGAGAATATGGACAACTCTTTTTATGTAACTCTTAGGGCCTAAAAGGGCGACAGTGAGTTAAACGAAAATCACTAGACAAGTGCCGCTGCCGCTAGCAGCGGTAGTGGGTGCTATGCATTTGAAAGATTGATCGATATGGCCGACAGCGCATTGTAAAGAAGCGTTTTAAGGATGAAGACACTGAAACTGAGAAAATTCATGCAAAATCAAAGTTTTAAACGTGCTTTTATGATTTTTGACCAGCGTACCTACTCTCGCAGTATAAATTAATACCACTGGATAATTAGAGTTCATAGACTGAATACCCTATTGGGCCCCAAGAGCTATGGAGCCACATGACCCGATCAAACCTAACCTCCTTTTCAAGCTGTCAATACTCTCCCTATAAAGATACTCCAGTTAGGGGCGGCGAGTTGCAACCCGATCAGCTACGAAGATAGCCGAACAAGCCGAAGGTCTACTCGCCGCTCAAGACGCGCGTCTAGTTCGCGGGTGTATCCGGCACTTCAGAGTGGGACTCCGGACAGCTCGACGTCGTCGCTCTCCGAGCCGAGAGACCCCACGGCGGAGCGGCCGCGGGGTTTACCCGGAGGCTATACTTGGTTCTCGTTGAGGGTGGGCCCTGGTCCGGGGCCGGGCTGGGGGCTGAAGGGCGGGTTGGCCGAGCGGGTGCTCCGGCCGGAGGCCCAGTGTCATGAGCCGTGGCGGCACGGCGTCGCCGCGGCCGAGGAGCGGAGGTAGACGCTCTGCCGCGTCGCCTGGTTCAGGAACATCTTGTTCCGCTGGCTCTTGGCCGTGCAGTGCCGCAGCGTCAACCGCCAGAAGGCCAGCCGGAAGTCCGGGCTGTAGAAGGCGTAGATGAACGGGTTGATCGCCGAGTTTATCCAACCTGAAACAGAGCGGATTCCCAGGTCTCAACAGACTTGTTGAAATTGGTAGACTAAGAAGACAAAATGTTGGAGGGATCCTATTGGTGGAAGCAGGTGGTTGCAATGGACAAAGGGCGTAGGTAATAGACTATATTACGGCATCCCGCGAGCAATCCTATAGTTATTCCATAATTCTCTTCCTTTGTCTATAGGAACCACCCATTTCAACCAATAGAATCGCTCCAGATGTCGTTTTTGTCTATTGCGCTGCCTATCAATTCAATAATCAGTTCGCAAGGGTAGGTTCAAGTACACGGATTCAAATGGAACATTGCACAGAGTTGGAACAAGTCGGTTGGCCAGTTTGCCTTGCTAAAAATGACAATATGGTACATTGGAAATAATCTTCGACCGTGGAAGTCACATTGACAGCCTATATGTATAAAACTACGTAGTGCTATGTTGCCCGTCATTACGGCTTCCACGCCCGGAGTTTTTTTTTTCAGTGAAAACAAACTCTAGCAGTGGAAGCCGTAAACACAGGCTATAAAGAAGCGCCGTCTTTTCCGGGCTCAGAGGCCGATTTTTCGGGTGCTAGAGCCGTAGTTTATGTGACTGCTCCTGGCTCAGAAGCTGAAGCAACGCGCGGGCACATACGACTGGAACTTTCGACCCTTGAGCCCAAAACGGACTTTAGTTCTGTATAGCCCGTAAGTACGGCTTCCACAGCCGGAATTTTTCTTTCTGTGTGACAAGTTGTGATCATGTTGTAACCAAAATGATCCGAGTTTGTGACACTATGTTGTCAACCTCAACAAGAATTCCCCAACGTCGAAAACGGAGATACGGGGTTTCACACTGTATATTAAACGAATGATTATTTTATGAGAGCCTAACTTAGATATTAGCCAAACGTCTGAACCAATGTCCGAGGCCAATTTGACTTATGCTATGCGAAATAGTTGAATCGATTCACCGTCGTTTCCAAGACGAAGGAACGTAACTCCATTACAAGGTTGCCAAATTGACTTAAACAATTAAATGTTCCACAAGATTGTACCTGTGCAATTTTTGTTCAAAAATTCTCTGATTTTTGCTTGGGATCAGAAGAAAAATCAGTAAAAGTTTCAGTCGGTAATGCCAAAGATTCTCCTGTTAAATTGCAATATGCAAACGTAGATTTGGCTACAGGGGAATGTAGTTACGTAGTATCCTCTGAAGTTAAGCACAGGTGGTAATTGCATATTTTCGAGGGCATTTCGAGAACTCTTAAAACGCTCTCCATAACATAAGCTGTAACAAGAACCGGATACCTCTCACGCTCTTCATAAGATCGTTCCTCCCGCGTGAAACTTTCCACGCAACACCACTTCTAAGGGATGAAAATAGGGGCAAGAAAAGCCAGCACTACGTGGGAGTAGTTTATCTGCAGCATTCCTGTGTCAAGCCGCGGATGGAGAGACCTGTCCGATGCAGTCTCTCCTCCGGCGCGCGGCGTCGCGGCGCTAAGAAAAAACGTCGTATGAGCTTTCAGACGTTGCCAAACTTCCTTCGACAAATCACGAATTTTCGAGAAAATTTCTAAGAATTTTTCTTTCAAATTTTCAGGGAGCCTCTTTCGTAATTGAGACTTTGCAAGTGTCTAAAATGTAATGAATTTTGCATTTTAGCGGTATCCATCGAGTGAATTGAACATAAGGATACCCTTTGGTCATAAATCGAACAATTATATAGGAGGAGATATGACAAAATGATCTAATCTGCTAAAATGCATGTGTTTGACTAGGAATTGCCGCTAGGTGATGTCACTAGGCGGTGCATTTTTTCACTTTTAAATCTATTTTCATACTATTTCCCATACCAGAGAAAAATTGAAAAAAATACTGCGAAATTAGCTCTTTCAGTGCTCTCAGATGAAGCAATAAAAGTTTGCGTGCAAATTCTCCATTTAACGTGAAGTGTCTAAAAAAGGCAGTGAAAAATTCTCATGAATTTCCTTACGAATAAGTATTTTTTAAGAGTAAATTCGGCAACATTCGAGTGTTTATACGTCATTTTTCCTTAGCACGACAGCGCTAGTGCCCTCTTGAGTGGAGCCCAAGGCTCTGAGGCGCCACTCACTCCCACGACAAAGCACCTTCTCGACTCGCCTGTGTTTTTAACAGCGGGATATATCAAACAGTTGCAACCGCCCATTGGGAATATGGACCCTGCAGTGAGGCGAGGCGGTTTGCGTATTACCCTCCCCCCCTTCCATTACCCCTTTCTCGCCACTAAAGACTATAGTGCGTGTGACAGGATATTGACTGTGACATTATATATAACTACGTATCCGTATTGCAATGTTTCAAACCCTCCTCATAAATCTGATATTACCTCATTTGAATTTACTTCTTATAAGAAGGCGAAAGTCCAAGAAACCGACTTTTCCGGAGTCAAGAAGAAGATCACAAAAGTTCACGAACAGAAAACGAGCTAGTCTCCTAGGGTCTTTCGAGGAAGAGGTAATTTTCGATAATTCAAACAGTTTTATAAGAGAAAATGTATTTTGAATAGGTTTTCTAGAATTTTTTTTTTTTGAAATGGACTTCCCTCCGCCTTTTTCCTTTGAGCTTTGTGATGAAAAAATGAAGGTTCACTGCTTCCAATATGGTGTAACATGAAAATTGAACAATTTCGTTTTCAGAATTCAATTCAGATAAAATGTTGATCCAAAAATTCTGCCTCCAAAGGGGCCCTCCAGCAACTACATCACCCAAGTTGGGTGGCGTGGGGGAAGAGGGGTCTAGAGGTGGATGACTATAGGAGATGGGGAGGGAGGGGGGGCGATTCAAGGATGACATAAGCTTTCCTGAAAGCAAAAAGGCTGAAAATGTTTGCTTAAAATTTGAGGGGGATTTTTTTTTTCTTCTTTTTTTAATATATAAGTAATTCCAATTTTTTTTTTTAAAATCGATAAAGTTTGCGTTATTTCATTGTTCAATATATTGTGGCCTTAATTATTTTTGTTTTAAAAGAACACAACATTTATTGAATACTCATTTAAAAAGAATCAATCATGTTCTTGGTGCTGTACATTGTATATCTACTGTTTTTTTCGATTTTCTACGTTTTCCCCCAAAGAAATTGGGGAAAGGAGAGCTACGCTAAGGTTGACGTACTTTTTTGGTAGCAGGTATAGCAACGAATGACGGTTGGATAGGGTGAGAGAGGGAGGGGTCGAAAAATTGAAAAAAAAATGGGTGACGTAATTTATGGACAGCCCCCAATGTTTACCCCGTGGAATTGATCGAAAATGATTTGCCCTCGGGCGAATCAGAGATTGGTAAAGGTTTCGCAATTTGGCATACAGAATTGATCTCCTCACTTTTATAAAGCGTGATTTTTTGCGGTTACGAGTCATATTAGAGGGACCGCGGAGCTATTGAGTTCAGATGAAGGGAAGAGGGTTGCAAAGCTGACGGTGAGCCAAGTTCGAACGTGTGTAACATTTGTATCATTATGCGAGACGCGCATTTGAGCCAATCTAACTGCGAGATTGAAACAGATATTTCAGAATAATGTAAAGACGATATACTCAGTGCTAAAAAAGTTCGCAAAACCGTCACGAAAATCTGCTTGCAAGGGGGGAAAAGGATCACACCAGAGTCATGAGTGAATTGATTCTAAGTCTCGTTAAAATGGTCGAAGCTTTATTAATTTGTCTTCAGTGAAAATGCATGACTATGGCTAATCCCTGACTGGATTTATCAGATATGGATTTTCGGAGAATCCAGTGGCCAGCGCTGAGGAGTGTGTAACGTGTTTGTTTATGTATTTACCAGATGCATAATTAACGTTGCAAGCAGACGCATCATGCTAGCTAAAATCTTAGTAATTTACCGTTGATAATAGCAAATTTTAATCACTTCTGCCTAAATTTGCTACAAAAACATTCGTTGCATCAGGCTCAATTGGACAATTTCAAAATCATCCGATCATCATACAATGGTCGAAGATGTTCTCTTTACGCCCGGAGGAAAAAATAAAAAAAAGAAGAGGGGGCAAAGAAACTCTGTCACATTATTTTTGAGAGGGTATGAATAAAAGTACTACATCCATGTTGCCTCTTTTAGGCGTGTAAAATTAGGCATCACAGAAAGTTAAGAAATCAACTTTCAGACAAGACATGAACATGAGCCTCTGTAATATATCAAATTGACTCCCGGATGATGTCACCCTCTGATCTGCATTTTAAGACCGTTCATTTAATGGAGGCACATTAAACTTCCCAACTATGATATGCAAACTTTTGTGCACGCGCATTGTTTTCGGATAAAGTTTCAAAGGAAGCACGTGTGATGTAATGCTACAACTTATTCATTCCTTATCTCCACTGACTCATTGACAAAGAGCGACACTCAATTTCAGGAAGGGTCATTGGGTCATGCGGTGCGGAGAGAACGCCTCCATGGTTCGAGAAAACACAGTCTTCATTCTTGCCGCTCTAAGCCGCGGTAGCAGCCAGAAGCCCCTTCAAATTCAATGAGCTATCTCACGCGATAACTATTCGTACTCTCAAGTACTGCGTTGCATCCCGGCGAAATGAAGGCGATTTATCACGAGCGGTGCGGCTCAACTTATTGGCGATGGTATCGGCCGTCTGAGAGTGATTAATTTTATCACTACCCGCACGCAGACACTGTTTCCCTCGTTTTATCTCCCGTTTTCCATTTCAAAAGCCTCGGCTTATGAGCACCGCATCTTACGGCATTTAATGCCGTAGTTTTTGACTTATATTCCAAGCTCTACTTCCGAAAATTCCCTTATCTCCCGTTTCAATTACTTGGCCGTTGCTGCTTCCTTTTGAAGCTTCATACTCTTGTTAATCTCGTCTTCTCGTGTGCTTTCACGGTTGAAAGCTCTACGGACATTTATGAGAAATTGGTTGGTAACCACTTACATCGTAAAGAACCGATGTAATACAGACGAGCTAAGCTTCCAAGACGTTATTTTTTGCCAAAAACTTTCGCGTATCTTGAATCCCTAATAATCCCTTTGATCCTGTTGTATACTGGATGAAACATTTATTACTTTTTCTTCTTTTGATGCATGTTAATACTTTTCATTGATACTCGGAGAGCACATGGAGGGCAGTAATATGGTGTCGTTATGAAGAGCAGTATGAAATAATTTATAATGAACTCTTGAAATATTAAAATCTTTTCTGTTTTTACATCTTCTTTTTTTGTAATTGGACAGTCTAAAAAGAGGACTATGTAATGCGTGGACTTTATTTTAAAACTGCGGTGATAGTGAACTCTATAAGTGTAAAACGAAAAAAAACTTAGATTCTCTCTCTGGCATTACGAAAACACTGCTACACTAAGAGGTCACGTAATTTTTGATGTGTAATTAGTTCAGTTTGCCAAGTGGAATTTCCCTCAATAACAGGTAAGGCTTAATTCTTTGGCATTTCTATGTGATGTATGTGTTGCATGTAAATAATCAAATCGTATATTTAGTAAAAAAAAATTGCAGCTAGTCAAATTTTTAAGATTTCAAAGTTTCTAATATGTTTGACTAATATCTCTTAATTCGATTTACATATATTCAACATAAACATTGATATAACTGCAATACGATTAGTTTCCCTCTTTACATTTGTGATTTTACGGATTAACCAAAAATCGTAGTTCCCTGAAAAAAATTGTAAAGAAATTATAGTCCAGTTTAAACGTTTATGTTCCAACTCCGTGCAGTAGTCCATTGAAAAGAAACATAGGGGAAAAATACATACCCCCCCCACCCCCATACGATTAGTTTCCCTGTATACATACACTGGAAAAAAAATACATTGGATCTAGAGTCCAGACTCTTAAAAACATCGACAAGAAAAACTTTTCTCGATTCAATCAGACTTAAGCTTAAATCAAGAACCCAGCCACTTAATTTGATCGGATTTCCTTTTGATTTAAGCTTTAATCTGATTGAATCAAGAGTCCTTTTTCTTGTCAATGTTTTCAAGAGTCTGGACTCTAGATCCAATGTGTTTTTTCCCCCCCAGTGTATTTGTTTTTACGGATTAGGCAGAAATTGTAGTTCCCTGAAAGAAAAATCGTAAACGTTAATGTTCCAACTCCGTGCAGTATTCCATTGAGATGAAAAAGAAAGAAAAAATAAATAAAACCTGCTTCAGCTGTGGAATGCAATAAAAGAATGAATAGTATTGAATGAAACTAACTAGCTACTTAACGAAAAGCGTTAACTCACCGAGCCACGTGAGGCAGGCCATGAGAACCGGCGGGATGGAGCCCTTGGGTAAAAAAGGGTTGATAAGGTACACGATGAAGAAGGGGAGCCAGCATGCGATGAAGCCACCCACGACCACGCTCAAGGTTTGGGCCGTCTTGCTCTCCCGCTTGAACGAGGACACTCGCGTGCTGTTCTCCAGAAATTGGTTCCGACACGAAGTTGGCAGAGAGTTCTCCGTCGCCGGCCTATCATGCGTGCTGGAACAAAAAAATCGACGGATTTATTCACTCGCCGTAAATCGAAAGCACTTGAAATCCACAACCAGCATGAAGAGGAAATGAAGAAAAAATGGACGGAGTTAAACAAAAAGGAACCAAGCCACATCGGGATCGAACCGAGAAAAAGAGGTTTAAAGTTTGGATTCTGCATGAGACTCAATGTAAAAGATAAACTTCAAGTTCAATTTCTGCAAAATTTGCTCCAACAAAAACTTTGAATTTTTGGCGATAGATAGTAGAGCAGTGGTTGAGTTTAATACCACTCATAACTGAATTTTTTCCAAAATGTGGGTTGGTTCCTTTCTGCTTAACTCAGTCCAAATGAGCCCGGGAGTGACTGAGAATAAAGATGGAAGATAGCCAGAGAGACGGGAAAAAAGGGAAAGAGAGGGGGTGAAAGGAGAGAGGTATGGTAAGAAACATTGAAAATTACAATGCATAATTTCTACAATCATCAAACTCAAACGGGGAAAAGAGGGTTAAAGTTGTATGCCTTTTGAAAAATTCAAAGCTAGAAATAAAGATTGAGGCAACTATTCGTGCTCGAGGATTGTCCATGTTGCATAACCACAACAATGAAGGCGAAATAAATATCCTCGCTCACAGCAACAGTAGTCCCTACATTATTGTACCACCGCAAAGTTCGTAAAGATATCAGTTCCGTCTTAATTTCTTTGTTTACGTAACATACGGTATTTGAGCAGGACAAGTTGCATTCAGGCGTTCAAACAGGATTGAATTTTTTGTGAGTGCAACGCCGAAAGTTTCCTAATGCGAATTGTTAAGACTAGCTAACTCTCTAAAAGGAGGTTAGTAGATGGAAGAGCGAAATCACGCAAGTTAATAACTATTGATGAATTATCGAAGTTTTTCGCCGTGCATAACTATGTAAAGCAACTTTTTCACACTTTTTATTTTCCGCAGTCTTTGAAGTGTAACCCTCTCCGTCCAGCAAACTTCTTTCTAACAACTTGCGTGGATTCTCCGCATAAGCTCTTGGTCAGGAGAGTTTAGAAGAATTTCACTCGAGCGTGCTCAGGGTCGCGACAACTTTAAATGATGGGATTCTAAAGGGGCACCTCAAAAATGCATCCGCGCATCCCTATCCGGAACTGCTTGAACTTTTTCATCTTTAATAATCTCACTCGAGTAATCCGAGGTAAGGGAATAAGGTGAGCGCTACATCCCTACTTTTGATGGAAAAAATGGTTTCCCTGTATAATGTTAACAGGTTGACTCAAAACTTCACAAGCGTATGCCCCTGGTTATACAATAGTAGTTTTTATATTCATGATTTTGCTCCACAGAAACGTCCTTCAAATATTCGGGTGCTCCTACATTTCCTTTTTTCCTTTGATATTGCAAAATTTCGGCGTGAGTCCGCAATCACATATCTCGTTTGCGGCCTCTGAGAATCTCCACCTCCATGTTTATTCTTTGAAGGAGAACGAATTTACATCATTCCTTAGAGTTTTTGCAGAATTTTCTTCGCTTAGAGAGGTGAAATTACGGCAGTTTTAAAGATTTGCCGTTGAGTAGTTTCCCATAGAAAAAATGCAGAATAACAGGAAGACTGCGACGTGACGTCGCAAACCGAGTTATGTGATTGCTGACATACACCGTCAATTTGCTATTAAATTGCACCTCAAAATAGATCACTGCAACCTTCTGACTTCATTGCGTATAGTCACCTTAAATTTCAATGCCCGCATCATGAGGTTATAGGACATTCCGTCAACGATTTTTTGTCCGTGCACCTGTTTTTTCCAGTAATTTACGTCCACGCGTTTTTTCGGCACGGGAGTTTTGGTCCACGTGCCAGTTGACACCCAAAGTTAATTGACCCACATGTAAATACAAACGACAATTGCTCACGACGTTTTTGGATGAAAATGTAAAATGTCTTGGAAGAATGCATGCGGATTTGCTTGTTTTTTTTATTTTGTCTGTTTGGTCCATCGGAGAATAATATATAGTTAAGAGTTTTGGTAAAAATGGGGGTGTGTCAATTCCATGAGACAAAATTCACTAAAACTCTCTACACCTCTTTGGTGTAACAGGACTTAATTATCTTTCAAGAAATTCCCACCTTGTTATACCTGAACGACCTGAACCGGATGAACCTCTATATTTGCCTCAAATAAAGGCTCTTAGATTTTTCCTGTGTACGATAAGTACCTTGATTTATTTTGCGAGGAAAGATCTGTACTTTTAAAGGATGCCTGTCATTCTTTATACGTTCAATTTCGTATAATACTGTGCAATACCTCTGTTGTGAAATAGTCGCTTCAGGCGTCGCCGCACGGCGGGCGGGCGGCCAGCGCGAAACGCGCTTTGGCGCCTACAAACCTAAGTGGATACTTCAAGCATTGTGCAATGCGTGAAGTATCCACTTAGGTTTGTAGGCGCCAGTGAACCTCTTGCGCTGGCAGCACGCCGCTCCGCTCTGTCAGGCTTTAATATTTATACTCGCATAGTCAGCGTTTTTTAACTCATGATTTTGAAATGTTTGCACATTCTGCAATGATTATTCTCATTTAAATTAATGGGAAAAAAATATGTATCAATTTATCAAAGGAGAATAATAATATAATGTGTGTTTTTTAAATATTGTTGCAGGTTCCGTGTCAAATTTAATGATTTCCAAAGCACTTTAATTTTTTCTTTTACATTGTGTGCTGCAGCGAGGTGTACGCGCAACAAAATGCTCAAAATTTGACGTATTTTACTCTAAACGATCGATGTACAAATGGGTTAAAACTAAAGATTGCGTGCTCCTTGGTTTTTTTCCCTCTTTTATTCATTTTTGCAATTTCTGTCGGCACAACTGCGGCTCATTGAGATTAATGTCGCTTGGAAAAGGTTTCAAAAATATTTGTCACGTTTTAAAAATATAAATGTTTTCAAATTGAAGTAATCAGCCCCAATCTCCAATAATGTAATGAAGAGTATGTCCAGAAACGCAGCCCCTGTCTGTTCACACGCAGTGTGTAGCATCAAATAACTATTTCTACTTGTTTCCAAAATATTCAATTTGGCAGTGCTGTAGAGTTTACAAGAAATCTAATGTTTCTGCCAAACGTAAATAGCTTTTGAACAACTTTTGTTTGTCTTCTGGAATTTCCTCATTAAACTTTTTTATGGAGATCCTTGGCTTCTTTTAAACGAACCACGGTAGTGACATGTAATTCGTAGCCGTGGTTGAAAGCTATATCAAACTGTAAACACAAATATTTTGAACAAACAAATTTCTAAATTTTTCGGTATCGCAAATCAAATTGATAAGTTGAAGTCAAGTGAAATGGAAAAAAGCAACTTTTGACCAAGATATTCGCTTTCCTGCAAGGACCAAAGTCATAACGAAATTGAAAATCATGCCATCTTTCCCGGTTCTTCCTCAACAAAGCAGTTAAGCTCATGCAGGGTGGCAAAATTTCATGAAAAATAAAATATTGCATTTCCCGTGAAACTTTTCATGAAAGTTTAGAAACTTATGAAAAATATTGTGATAATTGTGACTTTCTTCTATTTTAGTATGTTTGAGTGGTTGCATACTCTAGCCCCTGGAAAAAAACGAAATATTTCACAGCCCACTGGAAAAAAAACCACAACTCTTAAAAACATCGACAAGAAAAAATACCGTTGATTCAATCGGATTTTTGCTTAAATCAAGAACCAAGCCTCTTAGTTTGAGCGGATTTCCCTTTGATTTAAGCTTAAATCTGATTGAATCAAGAGCATTTTTTCTTGCCAATGTTTTCAAGAGTTTGGACTCTCGATCCGATGTGTTTTTTTTTCCAGTGCCTCGTGAAATTTCATGAAATATCTCACTGCAATTTCCAATCCTTCATTTCTTTCTTACGTTTTGAGCTTGTACCCGCATGTCTTGGAGGGTGTGTTTATGTGAATTCGATTATTTCGAACAGAATATAGGATATTGTCGCGACACACTTCAGTCAATTTCAAAACTCCGAAGATCCTCGAACCGTACCGTTACTCACCCGTTACGTTCTACTTTCACGAGTTCGCGAACTTGACGTTGTTTGTTGCCGTCGCCTGTTTGACGTTCCGCGACGATCGTGCGTTCCGTTCCGTTCGGGGGACTTTTAAAACTACTCGGGCGAGTCGTTTATCAAAATTTACTCGACTAGCTAGATTTAGGAACTAGCATCAGTTTATCCGCGAGCCCGTGGGAAAATAATTAATCTCTGATCCTCACCCGCTGAATTAGAAAAACTCGGGGCAATCTGTGCGGCTGTCATTCCGACTCGGGGTGCAGTTCAAATTAAAGTCACCCGCTCAACGTCATTAATCAAATTTTTCCTCCGTCGCACAAGGGGGCGAGGTCAAACATGATTTGGAAACTTTTTATTTTTTTTAAACTTTTATTGAAGAAAATAACTACAAGGTATCAAATGTTTTTACATTATCTATTTACAGGGCACAATAAGGGTAATTCGATGGACGCCATATTTTATGTCAGAACTGCATGTGATATATCGCATCAATTGATTCCATTTTTTCAGCTACTCGTCATTTTTCTCCAATTTTGAGATCGCAATTCTGTTGTCAGGAGACTGAAGCACTCACTTATCAATTTTAACAAAGAAATTTATCGTAATAAAGGCGTGGTTTTTTAAAGAGAAGACATCGCATTCGATACTGATATCGAAATTGCACTCGAATGCGATATTTTCTCTCTAAAAAAACGACGCCTTTATTACGTTGAATTTATTTGTTAAAATTGGTAAGTGAGTGCTTTAGTCTCCTGACAACAGAATAATTGCAATCTCAAATTTGGAGAAAAATGTCGAGTAGCTGAAAAAATGGAACCAATTGATGCGATATATCGCATGCCATTCTGACACGAAATACGGCGTGTATCGAATCACCTTAAAATTTGATTAATCGAGTTGTTAAACTAACGCAGAATAAAATGTATACATGGTTACTATATTAACGGCGCGGCGTAAAGTCTGCAATCACATATCTCGTTTACAATGTCTGCAAAGTTACGCTTCTGTGTTATTTTTTAAAAGGAGAACAAATTGGCATCATTCCTTGAAGTTTATGAAGAATTCTCTTCGCGCAGAGAAGGAAAATCACGGCAGTTTTAAAGAATTGCCGTCGATAGTTTTTCATGTAAAAAATTAAGTATGACAGGAAGTCGGCGATGTCGCAAACCGAGTTTTGTGATTGCCGATTTACACCGTCGATATACATAACCGTTGCTTTAATTATTGTCTTTGTTTCACAGCATCTAGGAGGCACAATTCGGGTAAAAGATGGAAGCGGCCACCATTTATGGAGAACTGAAACTCCTATTCACTGGAAAAAACACTTTGAATCTAGAGTCCAGACTCATAGAAATATCGACAAGAAAAAGTACTCTTGATTCAATCAGAATCTAGGTAAAATCAAGAACCAAGCCAGAAGCCTTTTAATTTAAGAGGATTTCGTTTTGATTCAAGCAAGAGTCCGATTGAATCAAGAGTATTTTTTCTTGTCAATGTTTCCAAGAGTCTAGACTCTAGATCTAATGTGTTTTTTGTCCAGTGTTTGCTGATCAACCATGGACAGATTTGGAACCTGTGAAAGCTTTACCCTCTCCGATATTACTTAAAAATGTGGAGGTTTCGGCTGGTTTAACTGTTTTCCTCTCAAAATTTTCTTTTTAAAGCACCCATCAAAATCCATTTTTTGAAGAATTCAACATGAAAACTGTGCAGTTTTAGTCCTAACTTTCTTGTCCGACCTTTTTCAAAGGTTTGTTCCACTGTGCGCGGGCGCGGCTTCCGCCTTGCCGTTTCCTCTCTCGCGGGTTTCTCGCTAAGTATAACGCTTTTGCCCTCGCAGCACGGTCTCCGGGGTCATGTTTTCAGGGCGGGTTTCGATGCATCCCGCTGTTCGAACCGGATAAGTACCCATTAACCAGGTCTACAGGGTGTCTCAGGTTTAACCAGTTGGGTTTCAGGGGACGATTTATTAGGTCAAAAGATGGAAAAGATTTTCGAAGCTACAGCCTCCCCCTCCCCTCCCCCACATGCCTTTCTTCAGAATGGACCAGGGAAGCGCAAATTCAGCATGAATTGAGACACTATACAACGCAAAAATACGTCCAATTGCCGCTCCTACTTAACTTTTTCGAGGAGAAACAGACCGATTTTATTCAAACGAACCCGACTTTATTAAATCAACATTCTTTTAAAGAATACAACTTGAAATTGTAGCTGGATATTTGAATCATGCCCATCAAGTGTAATGCGTTGAAGATGGGGTAAGTCCCGAGATGCATCAGCTATACTATATAAAAATGAAAAGTAAGATATGCATCTTTGGCTAATCATTTCTGTATTCTTAAACCACGATATTGCTTGAAATCCAAACAGAGTATTCTGCCTACGGAAGAGCAAAATCATATAAGGTTTTCAAGAAATTGCGTTGACTGGTTTTCGAAAGGAAAAAAATAAATTATAACAGAAAGTCTACAACAACGTCACAAACGGAGATACTTGGTTTTGCATTTTGACCATCGATATTTTCGCTTCAAAATTTCACAGGGGCAACGAATGAAAAACTAAATGTCTTGAAATCAAATCATAAACAAGATACAAGCGTCTACAATTTCTTGTAACACCACTTAACTGTGTGACAAGTATCTTAAGGCCCACACAAGCCTTACATCTTGTTTTCAATCCGTTAAAATCGATCCGAATGTGTGAAAGCTCCCCAGGAACGGTGCCAACTGTCGTTGACATCACTAACAGTCAATCGCCTCGTTGACACCATCACCATTAACACTTTGCGAAACGCCCAGGAGTACCCTGCCGTGCTAAGAAAAAACGCCGTATGAACATTCGAGAGTTGCCAAATTTTCTCTCAGAAAACAGTTATTTTTGAAGTAAGTTATGAATTTTTTTTCTTGAAATTCTCAGGAACTTCAAGTGAAATTTCTCACAAAATTATTTGAAAACTTGGAGGAAAAATAGCCACAAATTTTCCCGAAAATTCGTGATTTACTATAGGAAATTTGGCAACGCCTGAAGGCTCATACGGTGTTTTTCCTTAGCACGGCAGTACCGGCCTTTCCCTTCTTACGCTCTTGTTGGCGGCACGGCACGGTAACAAAGTTAAAATGATCATTGTTCGAGTTTCCTGCACCGGCGGTTGTGGCGGGGGGGGGGGGGGAAGGGGGGAGTGCGGAAAGTCGGGCAATGAACAAATACCCATCCGAAGGGGCGATAAATCGATATTCCTTGTGGCTTTCACGGAAGGAAATTCCTTAAATCCCCAAGAGCCTGATTTGGGGAATATTTCACCGGCTCGAAGAGGCCATTTTTCGCTCCTCAGGTTGTTTTGACAGAGAATTGCGTTATAACGATCGGGTCGTGGGGCGATGGCGATTTCGGCGAAGGCGATAGCCGCGGCGCGGGGGCATTGCCCCGGCTTGCTGAAGTCCCCGGATTCCCACGAAAAACTCCGCCTGAGCATAGTGTGAACGGCCACTAACTCAAAACATCAGGCCAGCGCGCCGTGCTACCGCGCCGGATTTCGGACAAAACAGCGATTTCCAACACCCTGCAAGCGGGCAAATCTACCGTTTTGTCAGAGGTCCGGCGCGATAGCATGGTTTTCCGCTGAACGTGGAAATCCGTAAACATACAGTGCCGGAAACGAGAAACAACAGCTAAGGACTTTCAGGAGGGTCCCATGATAAGCTCGACCGCGATTCCACCTTCAAAGTTTAGTAGTCTCCGAGGTGTCACCCAAGCTGCTCCTCACTGCGTCAAGCCCAAAACTCAGTGCGACCCTCGCCTTGCCGAGAACCCCTTCCCCCTTTTCGTTGAGTGATTGTTGTCGAGTTTAGAGTTGAGAGTTTAGATTAGAGTGTTGAGTAATAAGTAGTTATCAGATCATTTGAGTTGTAGAGTCTGTCAAATAAATCCATCCATTTCTAGTAGTCCATCCAGCGTGTCTTAGTTATCTTAGTCATCTATCCTGAGTCGTCGACCTGTGTAGGTGGTAAGACCCCCATATTTACTAAAACGAGTCCCGTGGAACTCACCCATCAATCCACGGTGGTGGAGGCAAAAGATCGCCCCAAAGGAGAGTGGTAGTTGGGAGTAGAGTGCCCTTTTGGCCCTACCCGCAGCGACCGTTATATGCGTCATTATTGATGTTCCGGGCGATCCTTAACCCACTCTCCTCGGGTGAACCACCGTTGCCGTTTGGGGTCCCTTTGAACTGACAAATTATCACAAGCGTCATGCGACGTTTAAAAATTTCCGCCACAATTTTAATTTTTTACAGATAAATTGTTCAATGAAGCTAGTCTGAAAATGTCACTGAATTTTCTTCGAGCTGCCGATAAAATTCAGTGAAATTTTTTAACAAATTAAACCAACAATTTATCTGTAACAAAATAAAATGGCAACGGAAACTTTGAAACGTCAAATGGCGCTTGTGATAATAAAGCCGGAAGGTGACCACATGCACAGTAGATAAACAAGCAGTGAACTCCAACANTCTCATTCTTTGTTTCGGTTTTTTATTCTTTTTCTCTTTCAAATTTGGTTTATTGAATAACTTTAAAATTCACTTTGGTTCATTCAGTTTTTTTTTTATCAAAATTTTCGAAATTTCTTTCAAAGTTTAACCATTTCTCACGATCGATTTTCATTCCATATCTTTGAAAACCCTTTGGAAATTTTTAAAATTTTTATCATTATCTTCCTTTTCACCGATTTTAGTTTTCTCTTTAGATTTTAAATTAGTTTTTTTTTCTTTCTTAGTTTTATCTTGATATTGTTCCATCGAGTAACTCCGAATTCAGTTTTGATTTTTATCGGTTCTCTCATTTCCCATTTAATCACGGTACTTAAATACCCACGGAACGCTGGAGAACAATTTTTTAAAAAAAAAGGAAGATTAAGTTTAAAGTTAAAAATTATAGTCTTGCCCATACCCCTTTATCAATCTTGATATTAATCAATTTTTGCCTGCTCTTTTTTTGTTCCCCGTGTTAACCCTAATCAAAATTTCCATTTTCAGACTTTTTTTAAAAACTGTTTTTCAGACTTTTTTTAAAAATTAACGAAAATTTATTTATTTATTTTTTACTCATTTACAGGTTTTTTTTTAAATCTTTTTTTTGAGTGCTAAAATAAACCTCACCTCGCTAGTTGACAATTGTAATCTCGAGCCGGGCGAGCGCTTACAACCGTCAACTAGGGACGTTTAAATAATCATAGCTTAAGCGTCGTTTTTTTTATCTAACGAGTTAAAATAATTTTTTTTCTTTTCATTTTTTTTACTTTCCACCTTTTTCGGCCATTTGTGCAAAATTAATTTTGGTAATCACTTACCTCCCAGCATCTGCATCCTCCCGCAGTATTCCAGAATCAACTCTATTCTCTGAGGAGGCATGTAGAAGATGAATAAGAATCCTCCATGCATACCTTCACCCTTGTAATCGGTGCTATCACTTTCAAACTCTCTTACGTAGAAATCCTACCATTCTTGCGGACGGAAAGAAGAGTGAAGATAGACGAGGATATACAATTTGAGGACGTACTGAAGTTCACAAAATCCTACCCAGCAGCAACTCTGCTTGAGTTCCTACGAGTCCGGCTAGGAGAGGATACCGACGAGGCATCCAGGCAACCGTTGAAAAAGCCATACGTCTACACATACGTCAGAGAGTACAAATCAGTGGAAGAATACGAAGAACGCCTGAAGGGAACGGAACCTAACTACCGTGCAATCAAGACCGACGAAAGGGGAGACCCAGCAGAAATATTCAAGCTTACAAAAGAGAGGATCGAGTGGGAACTAGCAAAGAAACACTATTGCTACAACTACGGAACCGTTGAAAAGGCCAGGGCTGCACTGAAGTGGATAATCGACAGACACCAGCACAAATCCAGCACATCAGCAGAAACCCCGAGAAGTTCAAACGACGCACAGGGGTACGGCACTTCCACCCTCAGAGATTCTGGAATCAACACAACAGCAAACAGCCCCGAGGGGACGCAATTTGGAGGAAACAAGCCCATATCTTCTGAAACATCCGACAGCCAGTCCGCGGATTCAAATCGCACAAACGAGCTACAAAACCCGAAAAATCTTCGAATAGCAGAAGCAGAGATCAACCACGAAGAAGCGGAAGTAAGCGAGGAAGAAGAAGAAGCGGAAGCAAGCGAGGAAGAAGAGGAAGAAGAAGAAGCGGAAGTAAGCGAGGAAGAAGAGGAAGAAGAAGACGACGACATGGTGCGGATATACTTTGAAAAGTTGAAACTACCCTTCTTCAGCGGAAAATGGAATGAAGACCTTACAGACCATTTTCGTCGCCTGGAAACTGAGGGAAAAGCGTACGGATGGGATGAAGCTGACATGAAAAGAGTGCTCGCCTTCTTCTTAGCAGGAGCGGCAAGGGATTGGTATGACAGAAGAGAAGCAGAACTGGAACCCAAAACGCTAAATGAAATCAAGGAAGAATTCAAAAAAAGGTTCGAGTCGAAAAGCAACCAATCTCCGTACGCAACCCTCTCGGCGAGAAAACAGAAGTGGAGTGAAAGGCCGATGGACTACTTCGACGCGATGGCGCACTTGCGAAAGAAAATACCAAATAATTTCACCGACCACGACTTCATCGCACATGTCCTGAACGGCTTACTGCCTGAGCCGCAGAAAATGGCGAGACAAAACAACCCAGAGACAATCGAAGACTTGGAAAAAGAGATCAGGAACATCGAAGAGGCGCTGAAACTGGTAGGCAACCCGCCCGACCTCAGAGGCCCGGACGAAGCATCCAGCTCAACGAACCACTCAGAGTTGACGAACCGGTTGGACCGGCTGGAACGACTCCTAACTGCTCAGGTGACACTAACAGCTCAGGCTCCACCGGAACACGAACACCCCGATAACCCCATCGATCAATTGGTCGCAGCCATCACAAAATTGGCGGGGCAACCCAACCAAGGGGGTTGTTTCCGGTGCGGTGATAAATTTCACAGAATTGCCGACTGCCCTATCAAAGAAAACACAAGAATATGCTATAACTGTAGCAACGTCGGGCATTTTGCACGAGACTGCGTTATGCCCCCACGACAATCGCGAGGATCATCCCCTAGCAGACGCAGAGACCGATCGCAGGACAGATCGAACGAACGAGTCACAACACCACCAACCTGCCAGCTCTGCAACGCGGTTGGACACGGAGCTTTACAATGTTTCAAACTGAACGATTACGCTAGGCAGCAAAAAAACTAATAGAGCCTCCTATTGCAACGGGTTTCAAGGCAATAACGAATCATGAGGCTCAAAAGGAACCCTCAAAAGCAAAATTTTTCGCAACAAAAGTACACCTAATGGAAGAAGTTCGGCTTCAACCAGGCGAAAGCGGAATATACTCGGTGCACGCACCAAAAATTGACGTCGAACGGACGAGAAAATACGAACTGGAGCCCTACATACTACCAGGGGTACAAATAGACAAGGACGAGAACATGAAAATGGCATCAGATAAGCAGTTCCTGATCAACATAACTAACTTGACAAACGGCCCAAAAAAACTGCAAAAAGGTTTACAGGTCGGCAAAATAATCGCCCGAGAACAAGGAGACGGGAAAATACCAACAATTGCAGTTAACCTCGTAGAGGACCCAGTAACGGAGCCAGAAATCAAAACGCGAATAATAATAGCTGGAGATCACCACCTGAACCAGGCAAGGGTCGAAGTCAGAAAAGCCCTGGAACAACACGCGCAAATAGATATATTCTGCCCGGAAAACGGAGAAATGAATAGAGTACTGGACGAGCTGAATCATGCCGCGCCGTCACGGGACACAAAAACGATAATAGTTGTAATAGCCGGAAACGAAGATTTCAATCGAAGATATTGCCTCCAAAGCCACTCGGCAATCGCCAATGACCTACCCTTGGGCAGAATCAGAGAACTGACACAGGAGTTTCACGTGGCCTACACAACACTGCTGCCAAGATATGACATAAACAGGCTAAATGAAAAAATTGCCTTGGTGAACGCTGACATCATCGGACAGCTTATGCCAGGGAAAACGCTCACCAAGATCAACCTGTCAACCGAAAATCTACCAAAAACAGCTTTCAGGGCGAACGGGATCGATCTGAACAACAAGGGAGCCGAAATACTAGCAAACATAATCGAAAGCCACGTCAGAAACATAATCGAGGACAAAACGGAATCCGGAATCGTGAGTGCCATTGAAAACGGAACGCAAAAGAAGTTAAACCTGAAACGCCCTCTCCGAGTAAAAGGACTCATTAATTTCAAAGAAGTACCCATAATGTGCGACACAGGCTCATCGGTAAACCTGGTGAAACCGAACTTAGTAAACCCAGACGAAATTAGGCCAGTAAAAAACTTTCAACTTTTAACGGCCTCCTCCGAAAAGTTCCAACCGGAAGGAGAGTGCACACTGACAGTGGAACTCGGCCAGGAAAAACTGCAAATAACTTGCTTCGTCACCGACAAAATTCCGGTTCCTATAATCTTGGGTATACCCTTTATGATGTTTTACAACAGTCTAATATGTTTCGACACGCAAAAAGTAACCCTGCGGAAAAATGTGAGCCGACCCATCGAACTGGAATTCACACAAGAGGCCGAAACCGTCCACCAGTGCGAGGCAATTGTGGAAGAAGACCCTTTTGCAGCGATGAATTTTGTCGGTTTATGCGCCACATACGAAGGACCGAGCAAAATAAAGCTAGCAAGCCCGATCAGGCTAGAACCAGGGGAGGAAAAGAGCGCTCAAGTATACTACCCCAAAGGAAAACCGGAGACCAAATTTCAAATAGCAGCCGACGAAGTTAAGATGAAAAGAGGAATAGAAGTCAAATCAGTATTCACAGCCGAAAACACACCAACAATTCTAGTGAGAAACAGGGGACCGAATATACAAATCTTGCACCAAGACACCATAGTAGGGACGGTCAAGGACGCAGCACAAGATCATCCGCCAAGCAGCCAGAAAATCCATAACTTAGAGGATGTAAAGAAAATTGAAATCAACGAAAACCTTTCGGAACGAGAAAAAAATGAAGCCTACGCATTACTGAACGAATTCCATGATACATTTCTCTGGGATCATGAATCCCTAAAAGGCGGACAAGCGAAGACCGAGCCAGTGCGGATTGAGCTAACAGAAAATAAATTAGCCTATAAAAGCCCGTATCAACTCAGCCCCATGGAAGTGAAGTGGCTGCAAACAGAAGTGACGAAGTTGAAGGAACAGGGAATACTGGAAGATTCGCGCTCACCCTATGGATCGCCCGCCATGCTTGTAAAAAAACCGGGCCACACGACCGAGAACCCAAAATTCAGACTGGTTCAAGACTACCGGCAGCTAAACTCGCTTACGAAAAAAGTACAATGGCCTCTCCCAGCACTAGAATCTGTCATGCAATTCGTCCAGCAAAAAAAATTCATCTGCAAATTAGACTGCAGCAGCGGATATTGGCAAATACCCCTACACATGGATTCAAGAGATTTCACTAGCTTCACACTGGCAATTGGAGCATTTCGAAGCATGGTTCTCCCGATGGGATTTTGCAACAGTTCGGCAGAATTCCAAAGTTTTATTGACAAAATGCTAAGCGGCCTAAAATACGTGTATGCAATTTGCTACCTCGACGATATATATATCATGGCCGATACCTTCGAAAATATGCTATATGCACTACGCCTAGTGCTGGAAAGGATCAGAGAATATCGCGTGAAACTAGCCTACATAAAATGTCAGATAGCCGCAAAAGAAATATCACTTTTCGGCTATCTCCTCACGAACGAGGGACTGCAGGTAGACCCCGAAAAAACGCAAGGAATCAGGGATTACACAACACCAAAAAGCATAACGGAAGTGCGTCGTTGGCTGGGATTGATATCATACTACCGCCGTTTCATAAAAAATGCTAGCCTCATATGCAAACCCATCAACGATCTCCTCAAGCAGAAACCTAGGAAATTTGAATGGACCCCCGAAGCGAACGAGGCCTTCCTGACACTAAAGGAGATTTTGACAAGCGCACCCGTGCTAGTATCATTTGACAGCTCAAAAGAATTAGAAATTTGCGTAGACTCATGCTCATACGGTGTCGGAGCAGTCCTGGGACAACTAATGGACGAAAAAACTGTTAAACCCGTGTGCTACTACTCAGCTCTATTCACTAAAGCAGAGGAAAATTACTCCGCAACCCTCCAGGAAATCACAGGAATTTGGAAGGCATGCAAGCGGTTCAGACCATACATTTTCGGCAGGAGAGTGCGAGTGATAACGGACCACGTAGCGCTAAAGCAGCACGTAAAAATACACAATGAAACGCACACGATCACTCGAATAGCCCTCAAATTGGCGGAATACGACATAGAAGTGATATACAAAAAAGGGAGACTGCATCTGAACGCGGATGCCTTATCACGCGCAATACCCCGAATGGAGGAATGCCACACGGTGCAATTAATGGATCTAAACAAATTAGCAGGAGAGCAACGAGTGGACGAAGAATTTGCCCCGATAATAAAAGCTTTGAACGACCCAGACTCAGTAGCAGACAAAATCAGACGGACAAGCAGACAATTTTTCCTAGACAAGGATGGAACGCTCTTTAAGAAAGCAGTAAGCCCACACCACGGGGACAGATTATTGTGCATCCCGGAGACGATGCGCCCAAAAATTCTGAACGCGTTTCACGACGACATCACTAGCGCACACCCCGGCATTTTAAAAACAGCGGCCGCAATAAAGACCCGCTATTACTGGAGAGACTGGCTAAAGGACATCAAAGCATGGATCAAAAGCTGCACAACATGCCAGGCGACTAAATGCAGCAACTCCTTGCCAGCTGGATTAATGCAGTCTACAAAAATCGAGCCGTACCCCTTCCGAAAAATAGCAATAGACGCAGCAGGTAAATTCAAAGCTAGCACGTCAAAAAACTGCTGGATCCTCTGCTGCGTCGATTACTACACAAAATTTGTCGTTGCAACAGCAGTAAAGCACAATGACGCCGCAACAGTGGGAAAATTCTTGCTAGACATAACGCTGACATTCGGCCCAGTGAAATACATCAAATCCGATTGCGGCTCATCCTTAATTGCAGAAGCAATTCAGGTAATGATGTCAAAATTCGGAACTAAATTCCACACCAACACGGCCTATTCTCCTCAAAGCAGCTCTCAGGTGGAACGAGAATTCCGAAACATTAAAACGATCTTAAAGCAGTACGTAAACACAGACCAAAAAAATTGGGATGAAGTACTTCCCCTAGCGGTGGCGGCACTGAACAAGCAAGTGCATTGCTCAACGGGTTTCAGCCCCCACCATCTGCTGTTCGGAGTCAAGAGTACCTTCCCAACAGACCTCGAACTGGGGACAGAACCTCTCGGAATACCGACATCAAAAAGAATCGAAGAGATGAGAATTACCCGAAGTCAAGCGATGGTAAACATTCTAAAGTCACAGGAGTCGCAAAGAAGATATCACAACGCGCGAAGAAAGCAAGTAATAATGCAAGAAGGCGACAAAGTCCTTGTATTTTTTCCCGTAATCAAAGCTGGCCTCATGAAGAAACTCACGACGCAGTACAAAGGACCGTACACAATCTCCAAAAAAAATTACAGATGCAATTTACGAGATAAATTTCGGCACCAAGAAAATCCCTAAACTACGAAAAATCAAAGTAGAAAGGCTTAGGCGATACTCCGACCCCAAAAAAGTGCGGAGTAACATCTACAAGAAAGAACGCCCCAGAGAACGAAACCACCCCATGGTGTCGACGGTACAGGCAGTTGCAACAAACAGGGAAACATTAGGGCAATACAACGTTCCAGAAATAGTGATAGCGCTGGAAAAAGGGAGCCCCCTACCCCCCTTCGCAGAAGATCCGAAAGAAGCCAACCTACAGAAGCAGTACGTGAAAATCTACCGAGAAAAGCAATCAAACGAAGAGGCCTTAACACCGGAGAACTATTACGCCCGATTTTCGCTGGCACTTTACTTGGAGGAAATCCAAATTGCGAAAACCATGAAAAGTTACGCACTCAAGGGCGCCAGAATATCGGACGAGGACCCTGATAATCTCGCCATTACTCTGCCCGGCAGCGAGGACGCGACTATCCCTCTGAAAAAGGGAGACAAGATACGAATCACCCTCACGAAAAATCCAGAACTAAGCTACTACGGAGCAATCTCAAGCGTAGAGGCGGGAGCAGCGGGAATAGAGATGCCACACGCCTTTTACTTCGACTACGGGACCGATGACACCGCCGACATATCATTTATAATGAACCGATACGCATTCAGGGCCGCGCAAAGAGCCCTAGAACAGGCAAGCGGATGGATAGACAACATGTTGTTCCCGAAAACCGCACCAGAAGCACCTCAAAACCTTGAAGAACCGATCAAATGGATAAATCCGCTGATAAGCAAGAACCCCGAACAACAACTAGCCCTGAAATCAATGCTAAGGGTAAAGTCAGGGACGCCATTCATACTGAACGGACCAGCAGGATGCGCGAAAACGACAGTCCTAATAGAACTCTTAAACCAACTACTAACAAGGAAAGACGAGGTGAAAATTCTAGTAACTGCACCGTCAAACAACGCAGTAGATTTGCTATTAGCTCCGCTAATCAAATCAACATCACCGGACAGATTGATAAGGTTGTACCCAGCATCAAGGGACGCTAGCACAATTCCCGCCGAGATCAGAGAAGCAAAATGCTACAACTACGGAAAAACGGCAGAAACAATCACGTACAGCGCCACGCAGCTAAAGGGATACGACGTGATAGCAACAACCATTGTATCAGCTGGAAAATTGGTAACTAAAGGGATGAAGTCGCATTTCACACATATAATCGTCGACGAATTATCGATGAGTCCGGAGCCCGAAACGCTAATCCCGCTCTCGCTGGCAAACACCGAAAAAAATCCAACAAGAATAATCCTATCAGGGGACCACCGCCAACTAGAACCCGTTCTAACATCAAACTTGGCCAAAAATTTCGGCCTAAACATATCACTCCTTGAAAGATTATTAAGCTTGCCACCTTACGCTATAGATCCGGCGACAAAACAGCACAACCCAACAATAGCGATCAGATTAAAAAGAAACTATCGCACCCACGGAAAAATCTTGCAAGTGCCGAACGAGCTTTTCTACGACGGAGCTCTGATCCCGAAAGCACCGGAGGTTATTGCAAACATTGCCATAGGGTCAAGCATATTACCCAACCCGAATACACCGATGATATTTCACGCAGTTCGAGGGGAAGAACGAGTAGAAGAAGCGACATTGAGCATGAACAACCCCGGCGAAATAGACGTAATCATTTATTACATAACGCAGCTTCTGCAACGCAACGCATTGAGCAGGCCTGTAAACCAGACGGACATCATGGTTCTCACCCCGTACAGAAGTCAAATAAGGCACATAAAGGCAGCCATAACCAAAAGGAAATGGGCCGGAATAAGAGTAAGCTCGATCGAGGCCGCACAGGGGGATGAAAGTTTAATTACAATCCTGTCAACGGTGCGATCGAGAAAAGCCGAAAACCGAAAAGGCTACTTAGGATTCTTAAAAAACCCGAAACGGCAAAACGTCGCCCTGACTCGAGCGCGAGCCCTCGAAATCATAATCGGAAATCCCGAGGCCCTAAAAGCGGACAAAAACTGGAATCACCTAATCGAATTTTGCAAGAAAGAGGGAGCTTGGCGCGATGAAGAATCAAACCCCGTCGCGCAGCACAGGAATTCAACCAAAAAATTGCGAAAAAAACGCTAAGAACATCATCGCTAAGCTCAAAAAGTAAAGGTTGAGGCAAGCGAGCCGGCAGAAGTAAACACGAATTTCCCACGCACCATTTCGTCGGTCACCCCGTGTACCAACCGAACGGACTCACCGACGAAATGGTGAATCCAAAATTCGAAACGGAATAAGTCGCCATAAGAACCAGCAAATAACGCGCAGCACGGAGCGAAGCGCCTGAAAGGTCGGCAACCGCACGCACAACACAAGTTCTGCAGCCACAGTCTCCGAGCCGCCACAAACACTCGAAACACTGGAATAGCACGGAGCGCCTGAAAGATAGGCAACCGCACGCACAACACAAGTTCCGCAGCCCCGAGCCGCCATGCGGGACGCGCATTACACAACCGCGCATAACACGGCACGGCACCATATATCGATCGCGGGAAGGATGGTACCCACAACCAGACGAGCCGTCCACGCTACCACGCGCGCAATGAACGCGGCAAACTATACCAGTAAATTCGCACAACCCGTTCCGAGGGAACCCATGGGGATCCCGCATGAGTATACCACGACACAGTCACCTCAAAAGTTCACAAGTTCCAAAAGTTAAAGCCGGACGCGCAGCGCGACAGTTCGAGACGAGCGGACGCGAGATGAAAAAACCAACTGAGGCCCCGTTCACTTGGGAAAAATCTTCAAGATCACGGCAGGCAGCAGGAAATCGTCAGCATTTTCATCCGCGCTGCAGGACAGACCAGCAGGACCCCGACTCCCCGCTCCTATCAGCCACGGGAGCCAGGGAGATCTAGAACATGAGACGAAAAAACGCAGGCGGAGCAAAAGTCGCGGAAGCCGTCAGAACACTCAGCATCCAGAGCGAATCCGGCAAGCAACGGATTCCCCCCCCCCCCCCCCCCCCCNGAAGAGGAGAAAAACCGAAAAGCCGAATGCACCCGGAACTTCACAGGGCAAAAAGCTTAAAAAGCCATAGAAATCCTACCTTATGCAAAAAATATGGATTGCATTTTGCGGAAGGGGGAGCCGCTGGCGTTGCGGTTATGCAGGGATTGTGCAACTTCATCCTTCGCAATAAAATTTCGAAAATTGTGAAAAACTCCGAAATTTAATTGGTAAATTTTGTCTAAAAATTACAATGTTTTGCGAGAAAAATAGCAGCTATTAATGATTAATGGTATTTTCTTTTCACCCAAGGCAAAAAGTCGCGCAATCGCGGCAGCATTGCGGCGCTAGTGGGCCCCTTCTTTGCGAAATGCAATCCATATTACCCTCCATTGCTGTGTTAAAATTCCCATTCTCGAAGCCACCTTAGTTTTTAATAAAATTCCGCGGTAATATGTCAGTTCAACTCTCCAGATAACCACACGGCCGAAACGCGGCTCTTGTGAGACTAGCGGACGAAACGGTGGGAGTCGAAAATCCCGGATTCTGAATTATGCAGGGCCCGGCGAAAGACGGGGGCTGAACGGCCATAGGACCCCGGAATTAGTGTTGGCGATATCAAATCGATTATTTCGGTAAATCGATTTTTTTTTTAAAAAAAAAATAATCGGTAAAATCGAATCAATTTTTTTTGTTGCCAAATTTAAATCGAAATTTTCCACGTTAATGTGGCACAAAAAGGCCCAAATTCTATTAAACCCGAAGCTCATTTCAAGATTCAGATTTGTTTTTGGCGTTGAAGGTGGATTTTTAAGTGTTTTGGAGTCGGATGGGAGAAAATCGATTTTACCTTAAATCGATCTTTTCTCATCCGATTTCAAAATCGAATCGATATTCTGCCGAAAAGCAAATCGGTTTCCCGAGATCAATTTATTCGAAAACATCGCCAACCCTACCCGGAATATAAATGTAAATGTAATGCTGATGTAGCCCGTAGGTGTCTGATAACGGGGATATGTAAATGATATGTTCGGGGATATGTTCCCTTTAATCAGAAAATTTTAGAGAAAAATTTAAAGTTATGTTTCAATCGTATCAATGTAGGAGATCAATTGTAAATATGCGCGAAATCGCACAGCCAGTATAGATTTAAGTTAGCGCAAGAATGCGAGAAGCAGTCAAATTTTGACGGCCTACAAAGGTTTAGGGATTTATGACGAAGAGCCCTCGATTTTCCCCTAATTTCCGTAGAATAATTAATCAAATTTCAAACTTACGAAGTCCCTTTGCCTCTCCCTCCTTGCTTCTCATATTTTTAAATGTTGAAATGTAATGTGTTTTTTTTTTTAATGTTGAATGAAATGTCTCTTCAGGGCAACAAAACTTGACCAAAATACTATTGCGGGAGCAAATTTTTACTGGAATTTATTGCTGCAGGAGCAATAAATTATTTTGTCTAAAATTAGGGACAGAATCAGACGTTAAAATATAATTACACAATAAATGCATCTATTTATATTAGACTAGTGGCCTCAACATGTGGCAAGATGCCTGATTTCGCTAATTGCCTACGGCATATCCATTAAATATTTCACGAAACCTGAAAAAGGCACTGCAGAAATACTGCCGCGTCAGGCAAGAACGCCGTACGGCCAGTCGAGAGTTGCCGTCGCCGAGAAACTCATGCTCATTTTTTTTTCTTACTGAATTCAGATGCCTTATAGTTGTAGGAAAAATATTAACAAACTCCCCGGTAAATTCGTTACTAATTGACGAAGATAGCTGGCAACGGCTGGGGATTCGTGTGACGTTCTTCCTTAGCACGGCAGAAGAAGAAGCACAGAATCCAGTATTGACGTGGTAATTTTTTTTTGCAAATGGGCTAGCTTATAAGTAAAAAAATTGTGGCACTCTAATCCGAATATCTGCTTAACTGATAAGTCAACTGTATGAATACCGAAGCGAATAACAGTATGAGAGTTAAGCGATTTGGCGATAAATGGACTGCATTCTGCAATAGGAAGTGTAAATTCTGGCCCTTCAGGAAAAACACCTATGTGCATAGGTAATATAACGACAGACATGTTGTTTATAATCCAGGCTAGAATCTGTAGTTCTAACTTGCAGGGTGAAGTCCAATTACACCTCACGCAGAGAGCGGTACAAGTAATTGTAAATAAAATTAATTTAAGGTATTGTAAGGTAATGTGTGGTATTGTGTAAATAGTAAGTTCCACGCATCAATGTGAGCTGCAGTCGGGCAGTATAGCGCGGCCGAGGATTGCACTATAGACAGGATCCAGGTCTCTCGAGCATCGCCGAACAGAGAGAGACGCACTTATGGGACATTACCGAGTGCGACAGCAGCGTCCAATTGGATGCAGAATTCGCTGATCCACCAGTTTGTCCACTCGCAACGGCGACCACGCTAGGAGCCGAACCCCGCCTCCCCCCCTGCCAAGCCCTGTCGGCCCCGTCAGTGCAAGCCGCAGTTGAACAGTATAGCTAATCCAAAATCTCTATATGACAGCTCAAACCATTAATAGCCTAAATTTAGGCAATTAACAGTTTTTAGAAAAAAAAAAAACATAGTTGTTTTTTTTCTTTTTGACAATTTAGGTTTAATGTATTACCACCGCATTCACATCCATGCAATAGACCGCCGATCTCGCCGCACACTGGTCAAAGAAAGCAGGAGGAGTCCACCAATACTATCAATTATTTTTTAGATTAGTATTAAATGATATTGAAGACAATGATAGATGATATTATTACGTACTTCTACAATCACTACTGCTAATAATAGTAACCAATTAAAAATTACTCAACCAGCAATGTAGTAACCGACCTTTCCTGCTCGCACCCACCACTGTGCGACGAATATCGTGGTCCGCGTGAGTGGAGAGATGCGAGAAACAGACTCTTGATTTCAACCTATGTTGGTCTCACAGCCTAGCAAACGACTGTGAAAACGCGTATCAGCGCATTCCGCGCGACAGCACCGCACGGGCGCGTTAAAGTACGCGGAATAGCCTCTTTCTAGAAGCACAATTCGTCATAAATTTGTTGCAAGACGCACTAACTTGGATACTTGTAACTCTCACCAGAATATAGCACTATTGCTTCTCGAATCTGGTGCGGTATTTTTCTTTGTAAATAATGCTACTCTTAATCGAATTTTCCCATTTCAGTGTATTTTTTCCCTTGGTAAATCATACTTTCAATTTTAGCTAATTTAATTTGCTAATTTTAGTTACTAATTTTAAATTAATTTCAGTTACTAGTACTCCATGCTCATTGATCCAATAATCCTGTAGGGATAATTACGTATTATGATAAATTCCCGCAACCTTCATGTATAAATAAAGGCCTCTATGTTAGTGCAAGACAAAAAAACAAAAAAACCAAACGACAAATTTTTTTTTGATCCTGTTTTATTTCGTTCTTGACGTCATTGCAATTCAATGCTTACGCTGCTTATGCGAATTCATATGAATTCCAGCAATTAAAATGTGTAAATTTTTGTAAAAAAAAAAAAAAAATTTTGGATCGAACTCCCCCATTAAATGGTAGAAAGCACGACTTAACAAGCTTCTTTCTTATGTTACATGCACAATGATAATTCGAGAGGACGACCAAATCTGTGAAACCAGGGCAGCTCCAGGTGCAAGTGGATCCTTCAGCGGGACACGCAGTCAGCTCCAAATCCCTATCCAGCCACGACGGGCACACAGGCACCATAACTACTCGCAGGCCGCCGACGACAACCTGGCCAAGCGGCAACACAGCTCACAGGTCCGGCCCCATAACCGACACCGTCTCTGTTGGTGCAACACTGTCATTCTGGCCGACTTATCACGCGAGATGTCCGCGTCTCACGCATGTCACAGTCTACAGAGCCCAGTTCACACCGCCGGCTAGCGACGCCGTCCAACGATGTCATTCCAACGCCGACCGCGCGGTCTGCGCCACCCTCTCCAATTTGCGCAGCACCGATCGATGACCACCCGTTGACGGCAAGCGGCAGCATCCACTACGAGCAAGCACACGTCCGCACGCCCAGCCTGGTGTTGACAGACCGACAGCCATAAACCACAGGAACGAGCCACCCACAGCGGAAGCGGTGCCACCCTAGCCCTTGGCTCTCAAGTCGACGACATCACCAAGAAGACCTATGCCCTAGCTGACTGCAACCCCAAGGAGGACCACAAGCGCCGAGAGCAGCCCCCGCACACGGACGAGGAAGTCCGATCACGAGCAGAAAACTTAATTTTTTTTTGCAAAAATCAACCGCCCAATCAATGTAACCCCCCCCCCTCTTCAATGACCCCTTTTAGAAAAAGCAGAGAACTTCGAGCAGACAACGGAGGGAGGGTTCTCGACAGGGCGAAAGTGAAGTAAGAGAGTAAAAAACAGAGCCCCTAACACCTCGCGGGCGAGCGGACCACGGAGACCGCCATGCCACCGGCGCACAGCACCCGCGCCGCGGCCGTCGCCACCGCCAAAAGTTGCCATCCCCCATTTACGAGCGCCGCAAGCGCCGCTCTGGTTAAGGCGGGCGGGGTATAACGATCGGATCATGGGGCGATGGCGATTTTGGCGAGGGCGATAGCCGCGGAGCGGGGGCATTGCCCCGGCTTGCTGAAGTCCCCGGATTTCCCACGAAAACTCCGCCTGAGCATAGTGTGAACGGCCACTAACTCAAAACATCAGGCCAGCGCGCCGTGCTACCGCGCCGGATCTCGGACAAAACAGCGATTTCCAACACCCTGCAAGCGGGCAAATCTACCGTTTTGTCAGAGGTCCGGCGCGATAGCATGGTTTTCCGCTGAACGTGGAAATCCGTAAACATACAGTG